GGCACAACATGTTTTTGATAGCAACTAATACAACAGATCTAGACTTGCACATCTCCATTGTGTTCAAACTGAAGAGAGTGTAACCCTAGGACACCCAGGTCTTTGGGCAAAAGCAACAGTTCCAGTCGCCTGATGCCGCTGCAAGAGTCTTCCAATCACACTCTGGGTGACGATAAAATGTGCACCAATGTGCAACGTTTGCTTCCACTCGCCTGGTGCATGACAATAGCTCGACCTCGATTTTCGACCGCATTCTTTTAAGTGAATTTTTACTGTCAACGAGGCCCGAAAGCACGTTCAAAGATCGTCAGTTGTTGGAATAATTTTCACTGCCTGCTTACTTCTTTCCTTATTTTCTGAGCTTTAAATGTTGTTCCCTGTACTAATGCCATAATCGTTAATCATGATTGTAGCCTGTAACAGCTAAAGATGGTCTTAATGTCAACTCTAAATATGATTAAAGCAGCGTTAATTTCTAACAGTCATGGGTGACCCTTCAATAATTGCAGTGACTATACTTCTGTAATCTAGAGACAGGAAATTATGTAAGTAAAAATATTAAGGAAATAGAAACAAATAATGGTATTGAATGCTTGTGATGAAATCATAACTGAAGCTACTAAAGTTTATGAATACTTGTATTCATCTAGAGAGCACCTAGTGAACAATGTAAACCTCGGTACTTTACTTAGTGACAAAGACACAGGTAAGAGTGAGAATCCAAATAGCTATCGGGGATGTTATTGCAGATAGTGGAGGTTACATCAGATATTGACACTGTGCTCGGTTAAAACTTATGTGAGGGCCTGTGGACTGTATGACATAACGTCATATTCTTGTTAACGCCACACCACCATAGTTACCAGCACTAAAAATTACCAAATCTTTTCATGTCTGACTTGCTTCTTCAAGTAAACTATGGTTATCGGTTCTTTTTAAGTACAGATTTGCCATTTAATTGTTTCGTTAGGATCAGTTGATCCTGGTAGTAAGTCAAACTGAGGTTGATATGTTTATTTGCTATAGGCAATGGTAACATATTTATACTGTGAATAATATGGGATGTTGCGATACTTTGTTCCATGCGTACAGACCGACTTCTTCCCCGACAAGGCAGGGTAACACCAAGTACCATTATATACTTATTTTAGGATGACGGATAGGAATCGAACCAGCATTCCGCTCTCCGGATAAACGTCCTCTCCACGCTGGCGGCCTTAAATTGTCATTCAATACGTCACTGTAATCACACTGCCTAACATGTACAGGAACTATTTCGTTTCCGAGTAGTGCTGTAAGGAGGCGAGCGGTAGCCATTGTACACCACAGTCATATCTCTATAAGGGCCTTTGAGTTGTGGAGTGGTTCAAGTGGGTATTAATGTAATATTTTCAGTCTGGCGGTGTTGATATAACTGAGTCAGTGTTTACATGACTGTGACGTTATTGATATGACTGTGGTGGTGTTGATATGACAGTGTTGCTGTGACTGCGGCAGTGTTGATGTGACAGCGACAGTGTTGATGCGACAGTGTTGATGTGACTGTGACAGTGTTGATGTGACTGTGACAGTGTTGATGTGCCTGTGACAGTGTTGATGTGACTGTGACAGTGTTGATGTGACTGTGACAGTGTTGATGTGACTGTGACAGTGTTGATGTGACTGCGACAGTGTTGATGTGACTGTGACAGTGTTGATGTGACATCGGTGCTGGGCAGTGTGTTGATGTGACTGTGACAGTGTTGATGTGACTGTGACAGTGTTGATGTGACTGCGACAGTGTTGATGACTGTGGCAGTGCTTGATGTTTCGTGTTGATGCGTGACTGTGACAGTGTTGATGTGACTGTGACAGTGTTGATATGACTGTGTGACAGTGTTGATGTGACTGCGCCGCAGTGTTGATGTGACTGCGACAGTGTTGATGTGACTGTGACAGTGTTGATGTGACTGTGACAGTGTTGATGTGACTGTGACAGTGTTGATGTGACTGCGGCAGTGTTGATGTGACTGTGGCAGTGTTGATGTGACTGTGACAGTGTTGATGCGCAGTGTTGACTGACTGTGACTGCGTGTGATGATGACTGTGACAGTGTTGATGTGACTGTGACAGTGTTGATGTTACTGGACAGTGTTGGACAGTGTTGATGTGACTGTGACAGTGTTGATGTGACTGTGACAGTGTTGATGATGACTGCGGCAGTGTTGATGTGACTGTGGCAGTGTTGATGTGACTGTGACAGTGTTGATGCGGACTGTGAGCAGTGTTGATGCGACTGCGACAGTGTTGATGCGACTGTGGCAGTGTTGATGCTTGGAACTGAGTGTGATGTGCAATGTGACAGCGTGTGACTGTGACAGTGTTGATGTGACTGCGGCAGTGTTGATGTGACTGTGACAGTGTTGATGTGACTGTGGCAGTGTTGATGTGACTGTGGCAGTGTTGATGTGACTGTGACAGTGTTGATGTGCCTGTGACAGTGTTGATGTGACTGTGACAGTGTTGATGTGACTGCGACAGTGTTGATGTGACTGTGACAGTGTTGATGTGACTGTGACGGTGTTGATGTGACTGCGGCAGTGTTGATGTGACTGTGGCAGTGTTGATGTGACTGCGGCAGTGTTCATGTGACATCGACAGTGTTGATTTGACTGCGACAGTGTTGATGTGACTGTGGCAGTGTTGATGTGACAATGTAGTGGCAATGTAATGGTGTCAGTGCGCTACTCGTTACTGTTGGTTTGTTTGAAAATGTGTCAATTCACTCATCAAACGGAAAACAGTGGTATAAAACTACTTGTATCGACTATCTTCAACCGACATGCCATATATATTATGGTAGTGGTGATATAGTTTTAGGGTGAGATGTAGTGTGCCTACAAAGGAGTAGTTTCCCTTGCACCACGCAAAGCACTGAGCACTATCACAGCTTCCACGTTATAACAGTGTTGGCATGGCGGATCTCATGCTACAGGTACACCCGCACCCAGGCTGTGTGTTGTCTATATGCTGTGAATAGTACTACGGTTTACCCGAACGGAGCGGCCTCCCTTACAATGTTGTGGCCAGACACCAGACACGGTGTTACAGTGGTTATTCGCACAACTCACGGTGATTGGCGGATCCGAAACCTCACACTTCCTGGCAAACTTCCTGGCAATGTTAATATAACGTTTTGTGCCTGAAAGTGACGGAGTAGTTTCCCTTGTACCATGCCGCGCCATCAGCAGTTTATGCACCGTCAGTGTTAATGTGTGTGTGTGTGTGTGTGTGTGTGTTTAATAATGGGAAGATACATGTGTGTGCGTGCGTGTGCGTCTATCTGTTTGTATATGTTTGTCTGTCTGTATAATTGAATGATACATGTGTCTAATGAGAAGATAAATGTGTTCTTGTGTAGGATAAGAAGCCCATTTCTGGGGTCCCCCGCCGTGATATTGCTGGAATATTGCTAAAAGCGGCGTAAAACAATACTCTCTCTCTCTCTCTCTCTCTCTCTCTCTCTCTCTCTCTCTCTCTCTCTCTCTCTCTCTCTCTCTCTCTCTCTCTCTCTCTCTCTCTGTCTCTCTCTCTCTCTCTCTCTCTATCTCGTGTGTGGGACGATGCATGTTTGTTTCTGTCTGTCTGTGTGTCTGTGTGTGTGTGCGCGTATATGTGTATGTAATAGGATGGTGCATATTTACACATGTGTGTTAGGAGATGATACACGAGTGTGTGCGTGTGCGTGTGCGGGTGTGTGCGCGCGCTCTGTACACGAACATGGTGATCTGTTCTTCTGTGCATGGCGATATGTACATGGTGATCCATACACGTGTATAATACAGGTGTCCTGTGCATGTAAAATGCCGATACTTCATGTCCCTGTCTAAACCTGTTCACATATTCATTCACTGACATAGATACTCGTCCATTCATTCACATGCCCAAGACACCTCCACCACAAGCCCTCACAACACCTCTGCAGCTCAGCTGCACTTAAATGGGCATTGTCAGCGGCAATACCTGCCAGCCTCGACCGTCTGACACAACATTAAATGAAGTGATTTCTGCGTGCTGAATGAGAAAGTAGCCCCTTTGTAAATTGTATAACCGCCATTGAAATATACTCGTTTTCCCGTGTCTTGATCATTTATCGTGTATATGTGCTGACTGTGTTTGATATTTTCCATGCGTGGAACAGGTTGGTTGCTTTCGTTATATTTGTCTGTATGTTATTGGCACACCCTCACAAGCCCTCACGTATATGTCTGTGTGTGTTTGCGTGTGTATGTGTTTGTGTGTATGTATGTATGTATGTATGTTTGTTTGTTTGTGTAACGCCACACTCAGCAATATTCCACCTGCATGGCGGCAGTGTGTAAATAGTAGAGTATGGAGCAGACAGAAGTATTCATTCAGTGCTAACAATGTCAGTGTGAACTCTACCTTCATCTGCTGACACGCTGTCTACAGGTGTGGAAATTCTATTTATATTTCATCTTGTTTTTGGAAATACAAGTTTTTGATCACAGATGAATCGGTTCACGTATTGTGCTTTTCCCTAAGATGACTTGGACATGTCGTGTTACCGATATACTTATTGAGACATTGTATACAATGCCACTGTGCGAGAAAATGAATTCATCTTCTGCGACATATACATGCTACTGAAACTCTACGCGATTGTGTCCCTGTGTACATGTTATCAGCGGCTCATGCACTCTTTCAGGAACCAGCATGATGTTGTGCACTCGGATGAGCCCACAGATCTCCTCTACTGACATCAACATCCATACCAACTGCAGACAGGGAAGCATAGAAGGTGTGCGATACCTCTTATCTGAGGGTTTAGCTGATGTCAATACCAGAGGGAAGAACGGGAGAACGCCAGTCATGGTTGCCGCCTGTGATGGAACAGATCATTGTGCCAGCTTGTTGGTGAGGAAAGGAGCTGATCTGCTACACGTGGATGATGACGGCAACAACGTGCTTCACGCTGCCTGCCTCGGGGTGACTTAGAAATGGTCAGGTATGTTCTGAAAATCGCCATTGTTGACATCAACAGCAGTGGAATGAACGGGAGAACTCCAGTAATGTTGGCGGCACGAAAAGGATTTAAGAACATATTTGACCTACTCGTCAACACAGGATGTGATCTGACACAAGTGAGCGATGATGGAGACAATATTCTTCACCATGCCTGTTTGGGAGGCTATTTGGACATTGTGAGATATATCCTACATGAACACATTGTGGACATCAACAGTCGGGGGAAGTATGGCAGAACGCCGGTGATGAAGGCAGCATGGGGTGGCCATAAGAGGGTATTAAATCTCCTTGTAGGCAAAGGTGGTGATATATCCCTCTTGGATAATGAAAGCGACAACATTATCCATGTTGCCTGTATAAGAGGCAACGCACCCATGGTGAAGAACATTCTCTCAAAACACATCGTTGGCATCAACAGCCGAGGACGAAAGGGGAGGACGCCACTGATGGTGGCTGCACAATATGGCAAAAAGGAACTCTTTAACCTTCTTCTATGTGAAGGCGCCAATATGTTTCATACAGACGATGATGGGAACAACATTCTGCACGTGTCCTGCATCGGAGGCCACCTGCACATGGTGGTGTACGTCCTCTCGGGGTTTATATTTGACATCAACAGCAGAGGCAAGTCTGGACGTACACCAGCAATGCTGGCTGCAGAGGAAGGACATAGAAATGTGTTTAACTTGATTGTCAGTAGAAACTGTAATCTGAATCTTGGCGATTCGTGTGGTAACAATTTCATACATATTGCCTGTCTTGGGGGCAGCACGGAGATGATGAATTATCTCCTCTGTCGCAACACTGATGCCATCGAGAGCAGAGGCAGAGATGGGCGCACTCTGATCATGTCCGCTGCAGAAAATGGTCACACGGGAGTGGTCAAGCTGCTGTTGAGTAAAGGATGCGATGTAACGAGCCTTGACGACTATGGTGATAGCATCCTCCACATTGCGTGTAGTGGTGGGCGGGTGGACATGGTGACGTTCGTCCTCTCACTAGGACACTTTGACATCAACAGTCGAGGGAGGTTTGGCAGGACGCCGGCCATGGTAGCAGCAGAAAAAGGACATCGACAAGTGCTTGACTTTTTAGTGTGTGAGGGAGGGGATCTGTCACTTAAAGATACTGAAGATGACGACATTCTTCATGTCGCCTGCATTGGGGGAGATGTAGAAATGGTGAAGCACATACTGCAGATGAACGTTTCCAACATCAACAGCAAAGGAAAGTACGGGAGAACACCTGTGATGCTGGCAGCAGAGTTTGGCCATATAGAACTGTTCTATTTCCTTGTGTGTAGAGGAGGCGACCTGATGATGGTTGATGGCAATGGAGACAGCATCCTGCACGTTGCTTGTGGAGGAAGTGTGAAGATGGTCAAGTGTCTCCTCTCAATCGATATCATTCACATCAACAGCAGAGGTTGCTATGGTAACACCCCCATCATGACAGCAGCCAGCAGAGGACACAGGGCAGTGTTTGAGCTGCTAGTAAAGAACCAGGCAGATCTGTCCCTCGTGAATGAAGACGGGAACAACGTCCTGCACGTAGCATGTATTCACGGGAGTGCCAGCATAGTCAACTTCATCCTCCTGAAACATGTTGTTGACATTAACGGTAGAGGGAAGTACGGGAGAACTCCGGTGATGTTGGCAGCAGAGTTTGGGAACAGTGACGTGTTTGAACTGCTTGTACAACACGGCGCAGATGTAACCCTGAGAGATGATGACGGGAACAACATCCTACACGTGTCATGCAGCGGTGATAATGTGACGACCATAAACGCTGTCTTGGTGAATCGCATGACTCACATCAACAGTAGAGGACACAGTGGGAGGACCTCCCTGATGTGGGCAGCAGAGAGGGGACAGACGGGTGTCTTTGACTTCTTGGTAAGGAAAGGAGCTGATGTCACTCTAGTGGATGATGATGGCGACAACGTCCTCCATGTCGCCAGTGTCGTGGGTGACGCCGATATGGTGAGACACATCATCTCCAAGAACGTGGTGGACATCAACGCCACAAACCAGCATGGGCTAACGGCGGATATGATAGGGAAACAGAAAGGCCACCACGCGGTGACGAGCATCTTCAATATCCCTGCCAAAGGTTGTAAGTCTAAGGTCCGGAACAAACACAGCAATGCCCTTAGTGACAGTAACCTTGTTGATCGTGCAGACCCACGCTAGCCGTCTCAGACCATGGTTGTTATTCTCATAGGTGGTCGTGTCAAGGTATCATGGGACAGAAAATGTGAAGAAATAATTTAGCAATGGTAGTTGTATTTTGAGTCATCTGTCATGGATGAATATTCCCCTAGTTTGACTACTATCTACCTACTAAGGGGATTTGTGTCGGGAAGAATGATAGGATGGAACTATAGTTTGATGTTGGTGGTTAAGGTACAACCTGATGTCAAATACTGAACCATGTGGATACTTGTTTGGGGACAATATTCCAGCAATATCATGGCGGGGGACACCATATATGGGCTTCACACATTGTATCCATGTGGGAAACCGAACCCGGGTGTTTGGCGTGACGAACAAACGCCTAAACCACTAGGCTACCCCACCGCCACAACCCTTACAGAGATAATGAAGGGAGACGTTATACACCACTCGGTCAAGACACTTGCAGGTGTTTCTCACGGCCCCGTGGTACTGATGTATTCTCACCTTTAACTCCATAGCCGGTGACTACACAGGTGGCAAAAACATAACACGTGTGAGACAATGGATTGTTCGGGCTATGAACCAGTGGTTAGTTATAGTCAATGGAGAAAAACAAACAACAAACATTCCCGTAGTTAGCAACCATCACAACAGATCGACGTTCACGTGGACATCTGTCTTGTGTAGCAAGTATACTGAATATAGTGTTTATAGAAAAAACATTCTGTATAACTAAACATGTAGTGTCCTTGTCAGCAATACCATACGAGTAGACTTATAAATATTCATAAACCATTTCAGCTACAATCAGTTGTGGCTCGCGAGCTCGAGTCATGTATTCTCCCTTTTCAAATAAACTGCAAATCAAATTTCCTTTTCTACCATTGTGAGAACAATACGTAAACCAGCTCGCTACACGTGGGAGGCGAGGATTTATCGAGCGCCAAAGATCGTCCTACCATACAGACATGAGAAGGTGACAAGATGTTCTGGCTTAGAATGAATGTTTGTATTTGTGATAAGTGTAAAAGCAGTAAACATGTGATATTTCATTTGTGAGTGAGTGAGTTTAGTTTGACACCGCACTCGGCAATAGTCCAGCTATATGGCGGCGGTCTGTAAATAATCGAGTCTGGACCAGGCAATCCAGTGATCAACAGCATGGGCATCGATCTGCCCAATTGGGAACCGATGACATATGTCAACCAAGTCAGCGAGCCTGACCGACCGATCCCGTTAGTCGCCTCTTACGACAAGCATGGGTTACTGAAGGCACATTCTAACCCGGACCTTCACGTGTAGACAGGCATGGGTTACTGAAGGCACATTCTAACTCGGACCTTCACGGGGAGACAAGCATGGGTTACTGAAGGCACATTCTAACCCGGACCTTCACGGGGAGACAAGCATGGGTTACTGAAGGCACATTCTAACCCGGACCTTCACGGGGATACAAACATGGGTTACTGAAGGCACATTCTAACCCGGACGTTCACGGGGTGACAAGCATGGGTTACTGAAGGCACATTCTAACCCAGAGCTTCACGGGGAGACAAGCATGGGTTACTGAAGGCACATCCTAACCCAGACCTTCACGGGGAGACAAGCATGGGTTACTGAAGGCACATTCTAACCCGGACCTTCACGGGGAGACAAGCCTGGGTTACTGAAGGCACATTCTAACCCAGACCTTCACGGGGAGACAAGCATGGGTTACTGAAGGCACATTCTAACCTGGACCTTCACGGGGAGACAAACATGGGTTACTGAATGCACATTCTAACCCAGACCTTCACGGGGTGACAAGCATGGGTTACTGAAGGCACATTCTAACCCAGAGCTTCACGGGGAGACAAGCATGGGTTACTGAAGGCACATCCTAACCCGGACCTTCACGGGGAGACAAGCATGGGTTACTGAAGGCACATTCTAACCCGGACCTTCACGGGGAGACAAACATGGGTTACTGAAGGCACATTCTAACCCGGACCTTCACGGGGTGACAAGCATGGGTTACTGAAGGCACATTCTAACCCAGAGCTTCACGGGGAGACAACCATTGGTTACTGAAGGTACATCCTAACCCGGACCTTCACGGGGAGACAAGCATGGGTTACTGAAGGCACATTCTAACCCAGACCTTCACGGGGAGACAAGCCTGGGTTACTGAAGGCACATCCTAACCCAGACCTTCACGGGGAGACAAGCATGGGTTACTGAAGGCACATTCTAACCCGGACCTTCACGGGGAGACAAGCATGGGTTACTGAAAGTACATTCTGACCAGGACCTTCACGGGGAGACAAGCATGGGTTACTGAAGGCACATTCTAACCCGGACATTCACGGGGAGACAAGCATGGGTCACGAGTCGATGCTTCATTTGTATTATCACTATCAAATTTCACGTTATTAACAGTCCGTAATTCTGCGTTGACAGAACTAACAAAGGAAGAAACGAACAAGATATATTTCTGTGAATGTAAGTTTGCTGCAAAATGGTAAACAACTAACATTACAACTTGACTGCGCAGAGCATGTTCATACATCCGACCCCGCACATATATAGACTGCTGTTGTGAAATACCATGACATTTAAGTAGAGAGTTGTGTAGAATATACACTGGACGTCTTATCTGGCACATGTATCTTATACACATACCATCAAACATATTGTAGACTCATTAAATTCACCATTTTGGCGGAGTTCTTCATTAATTTTACAAGAAAACCAGTCTGAATATTTTTTATAACTTTCCCAGTGTAAAGAGACAATGTGGATGGTATGGCATTCATGACACAATATATGCCTTGTGGTAAAGTTCTGCATTTGAAAATTGTGTTTCAACGCATATGTGCCTTGGCAGCTTTTTCGAGTTCTACCTTGGCTTATAATAGTATATACATGTATGTGAAGATACACAATGAAAATATGTGTAATAGTTAATAAACGTCAATATTAATCTCTCTCTCTCTCTCTCTCTCTCTCTCTCTCTCTCTCTCTCTCTCTCTCTCTCTCTCTCTCTCTCTCTCTCTCTCTCTCTCTCTCTCTCGACGTAAAACCAAATAACAAAGCGTATTTCCGGATCAATTACAGTAACCTTGCGAAAATATGAACAGAGGGAGCTTAGACAACAATCAACACAATCTGGCCACCTTTCCTTATACGTGTTGCACGAATATGTGGGCACAAGGATGACAAGACAATTTACTCATTTCTAAAAACACTGTCGCCTTCCACAGAATAAAAGAAGTTGTATATCGATAAAAAGTGTCATCATTCTTCATTAACTCAACTTATATAATGCCTATCGAAGAATGTATACATTTAATCAAGGTGGGTGGGTGGCTGGGTGAGTGAGTGAGGGGGCGAGTGGGGGAGTGAGTTGGGTGAGTGAGTGAGTGGGAGGGTGGTGGGTGAGTGAGTGAGTGAGTGAGTGAGTGAGTGAGTGAGTGAGTGAGTGAGTGAGTGAGTGAGTGAGTGAGTGAGTGAGCGAGTGAGTATATATATATACTGATACATTTATTCTCTCTGTTGATATACCTCACGTTTTCACCTTGTGGAAGGATAATTGAAACATTATTGTTAACGAGCTGTGACTTTCGGTTTGTGTCAGAGGTCAAGGAAGTGACCCTTAGTTCACAACAATGTCCGTTAGTGCAGTCCCTTCGCTGCACGCATCTCGAGTATATCCGTGGACAGGTAAATGCAGTACATTTCGTATTTGACCAACACCTATCTATCACCCATGAATGATATTGCTATAGAATTGTTGCTAAGTAAGGAAATGATGTATATGAGACGAAATGTAATTTGTGTTTCATGACGGACAGCGATGGACATCCAGAATATACTGTGTGTCGCGCTAATGTTTGTTGACGCTAAGTAACCTTTGAAGTAGTATTTGAATTTATATATTATGTAACTATACAAAAACAATACAGCCTGAACACCTTGCAGACTGACGACTCATGAACTTCCAACAGCGCTTGACTTTTGTCCTGTATAGAAGTTGTGTAAACTTTGAGTCTCTGTACGTTACTTCCTGGTTTCACTTCAGCCACGTTCACCTCAAATGTGTGAAGGCCTTGTCTTTCCTGACTATGAACTTGTACAGATTCTAGCACTTTTGTTGTGGTGAGTCCCCTCGAACCCAAACTCTCAGACTCGGGCACCTAATCGCCAGTCAGCCGTCTAGCCCACTCTGCCACTGCGGTTTCCACAAAAATAGTATCGGACAACGGCTAGACTTCGTAGAAAGTGTAATCCCAAATGTAACATGTGTTACATTTGACCACTTTCTAACATGGCATTGTGTATTCATAGCTTCACACTTATCAGAGGGGTACACAAAGTGGTACAATGACGATATATAAATTTCGCTCAACTATCACACAATGCCATAACCGACTTAAGTACTCAGAACTGTTTTTATTGAAGTACATCAATCTTTACGAGCATTCTGATTGGTTAGCCGTATTTTTGCACATAACATTCATTGATAGGGAGTCTTCTTGGATGTTACGGAAATTACGGCGATTGGTGACGAATGACAATGCCCGATAGGTCTGTCCTTTCTTGACCCACTCGTGGTATGCCGACTAGAGATTCTTGGGGGTTGATCACTTGGGCGAGTGTTGACAAATGAGTTCTGTTGTGCATATTGATTGGTCGCGAGAGAGTCTGTATGTTTTCGTTGCTTGATGGCATAGGTGTGTGTGTGTGTGTGTGTGTGTGTGTGTGTGTGTGTGTGTGTGTGTGTGTGTGTGTGTGTGTGTGTGTGTGTGTGTGTGTTTGGGGAGGAGTGTGCAAACACGTTGCGAATACATACATTTCTGGGTTTGATGACACGTTTTCGTGCATGTGCATGGTGGTCTGTAGAATCCAACCTTTGTTTTAACAGCGCTTGGAACAAGTCCCGAACACAATTATTTCCTTTTCCTTGAGTGACACAAATCACGATATAACATCCCAGCTGACACACTGTAAAGACAAGGATGAACAATTTTGTGCAATAATTTAGGCTTGTAAACCTGGAGAACAGAGTGTATTTGCAAAAGGATATTGTCATATTATGATTTTTACTAAACATCCAGACCGTTAATGGCTTGGTTTGATATATGCTTCTACCGTTTGGTTGATGCACGTAAGATGCGAAGATGAGAACATGCACATCGTAGTTTCAGATTTTGCTCTGTATGTGGAATGGGAAATAGAAAAATATGGACACGGCTGCAATCTAGGTTGCCTGAAACCTGTCGCAATCTTACAGATACTTCTTTGTGCTGTGACAAATGAAGAGGTATGATG